CGTTAGAATTAGAGATCTAGAGAATTCTTTATTTTTGGAACCATTTCTGAATCTTATTTCGATAGACGTTAGATTAAGAGGATTTTGATTGTCTTTTTATTCGATAAAACTTATCGTATGTTTCCTTTCTATTTTGATAATATTCACATAATTAGCCAGACTAACAGAAATAAAAGTTTAATTGATGTTTTATCAAAAAGTTCCATGCAAAATTTACGAAGAATGATAATCCGTTATAGACTATCATTTATACTACTTAAACAACACGTTTGACTGTCAATTTCACTCATGCCTACAAACATATATTATGTTCTAATATCATAATAATCAAATACGATAAACAATATTATTTCATTTATCTATTAATTGTTGAAATTTCACTAATCATGTACTCTTTTAGAAATCAAAAGAAAAATTATTATTTTTTATAAATACAAAAACAATCTAAAAATACCTCTACTATCAAGTAAACTCCAAAATACAATTAAATTATATTAACAATTAACAACATTTTTGTTTGTTTCTACATTCAGTACATCTTTCATTAAAAAACATTATTCTAATCTCAACTAAATTTTGAACTCCCTGGTCAAGTATGTATTTTTAAGTAATATCTTAGTATGTTCTCTACAATTTTGTTCTGTCGATTTTCAGATAGATATCTATGTTTATTAAATATTAAATAGGAATAGTTTGTGTTAATAGCCTAATTTCAGTCACCTATTGTCGTGAAAAGACAATTACCTGTCACATCCCACACACAAGCACTAGATATATGTTGTACTAGAAATGCTTTTTCTATACTTTAGGGAAATCATTATACTACTGAATGTATAACAGCTCAAAGATTTTTAAGAATTACAGAAGAAAAAAATCGATGAAGTTCATAATGCTCTAAAAAATGTGCCACTACTGAGTATACGATTTTTTGCAACAGCCTCAATTATGACTGAATATTTTCCAATGAGATCACTTCAAGTGCAGTGTATTCGACAATTTCACGAAGAAGATTCACAAGATTAAGTGGAAATTACATCACATTGGTGTCAATATTAGAAATTATTAATAATCAAGAAAATTCTTTTTTTTCGGACAAAAAATGAAAACTTATGTGTATAAGACGCATAATGGCCTTCAACGTGATCTAACCAGAAAATGATAATATTTTGTGTGCATCTCAATAACTAGACGAGCCAGAATTATCTTATTTTCATCAGATTACAACCCATTTTGTCTCTAATATTCGAATAAAAACAGTTCAGTTCAATCCATTGATCTGTTTCGTTTTTATTGCCGATACAATCATAGTATGTCGTTTTTCTTTCTTCCAAAATGATTCAATTAGTTATTGTTGTAAACTATTGTGAGTGTATTCTAACTAAATTGACATTTTCTTTATGATACATGGTTCAATAGCACACATTATACTCTACATAAAGAGCACTTTGTATTGTAGCTTTTCTTTGAGTAAGAGTTATAAAATCCATGTTTTGTTTTTCCATCGATAGTGGAAGCTTTGAATCAAAAGATGAGGAAAAAACATTAGTAGTCATACGATGTTTAGCCAGTTTTATTGTTCAATATATGATTAGCAAAAGTAGTATAGATTATATGAATTATTCTATTTGAATGAATTTTTTATGTTGTAAAATTGTGTTGATTGTCTTCTATGTATACATAAATCCAAGAGAGACCATTTTGTATGATCTCATTCACTCATGGAAAGAAGCATGAAAAACTGTTTTTTTGAAGGTTGAGTTCGTAAAGAATCTTTTTCCATAGGAAATTCTTATTTTTGAAACCAACAGCGATTGTATTATTTAAATTAAATAGCTTTACTGTATTATACATGGTAAATATGAAAATTTCACAGTAGTTTCAGCAATCGACTGAGTATATATTGCACCAAACAAAATTGTACGAAATAAAGTTTAATATAGCACCTTGTTCTAAATTTCATTCTCTATGTATATTGATGTGACGTGTAGAACTTAATAATGTATTTAAATGAAGTCTATATTTCGACTGTTGGAGAAGCTACGGGAAACTTTATACACTTGCTATTTATAACGTAACATAAGTAAATTAGAATAATTTATATAATCTATACTACTTTTGCTAATCATATATTGAACAATAAAACTGGCTGAACATCTTATGACTGCTAATGTTTTTTTCTCATCTTTTGATTCAAAGCTTCCACTATCGATGGAAAAACAAAACATGGATTTTATAACTCTTACTTAAAGAAAAGCTACAATACAAAGTGCTCTTTATGTAGAGTATAATGTGCGCTATTGAACCATGCATCATAAAGAAAATGTCAATTTAGTTAGAATACATTCACAATAGTTTATAACAATAACTAATTGAATCATTTTGGAAGAAAGAAAAATGACATACTATGATTGTATCAGCAATAAAACGAATCAGATCAATGGATTGAACTGAACTGTTTTTATTCGAATACTAGAGACCAAATGGGTTGTAATCTGACGAAAGCCAGATAATTCTTGCTCGTCTAGTTATTGAGATGCACACAAAATATTATCATCTTCTGGTTAGATCATGTTGACAGACACTTCAAATCAGGATTTGGTTGAATTCAAACTAAGACCTCATAACAGAAATACATTTTCTGCAGTGTTTGTTTTAAAGGTTTCGACAGAGGCTTATATTATGAACAAGGCAATTATATCACTTGAATTTTATGACAGATACTCAAACAAACTTTCTACAAGCACTTTTTAGACACCATGTATATATATATATGTCAAGCTGTAGCAATGCAAGTACGTTATTCGCTGATGTCGTCTGTTTTTCATTGACAATAAGAAATGACTGTTGTTGTTAGAAGGGTCGATAATGCAAGCGATTTACTCCTTTTTTTTTTGAAACAAACTTTCACTAATTTCTTCCTGTCATATTGGTATTATCTGTCCTGAAAACGTTTGTTCCAGTTCAAAGAAGTCAATTCTAATATGCTGCAGCATATGATGTTATGGAGTACTGTAATTTGTTTTTAATAATAGCTTGTTCTTCTAACTATTATGACTACTTGATGTCTTCATCTTTGACAGATACTCGAAGTCTGAAACTAAGCGAAAACAATTTTAAATATGCTTAATTAGAAATCAATACAGTTTGACTAATATTTGACATTTTTCTAGGAGATTAAAAAAATTCAATGAGAAGAAACTCGATGAATGGACGACTGTTTACTTTATATCACTATTGGAGCAATTAAATTCCACTGATATTCTCCTTTATGATTACTTGTATTATACTGTAATAGTGGTTATTTTCAATATTCTGGAAAATATTTTGAGCTATAAGATAGAGAACGTCACAGGGCGGATTTCTTTTCCTATCTTGCATTGTGAAAAACGTTTTCACTCACTCATCCTATTATGTAGGGCAATGAATCTTCTTGCGTCCGACATGCACGATAATCGTTTCATTACCTTTTTTTGACAAGGATATTGAATTTGTCTGCATATTAGGTATAATGTTAAATATCATAGACTTTCTTTCGATTCAAAAAACATTTACAATAATTATATAAATAAACTTTATCTTATGTTTTTCGTTAGAAATGAAATGAAAAATAAAAAGAAAAGATACTTGACATCCATAAGGTGAGCAAAACAAGAATAAAACAAACATAAAGATACACAATTCAAAATGTATCGTATAGAAGTAGACGAATAGCAAAAAACAATAAACTTACTTTTTACTATTTTCTCTTGACTTTTTCATAAGAACATATAAATAACTTTGTCAATTCGACTTGGAAATCAATCTGTTCGCCTTTAGATAAATGTTAATGCAGCTGAGCTAAATAATCTTTCCGTCGAAACACTAGTCACCGATTTAACATTTACTCTTCTTGCTACTATTGATAATAATGGAGAATGATGGCAAGTTTCGTTACTAGACGAGAACTGCATTGAATCACAATCAATTAGGTGAGTTGGATGTCCTGTAGAACTCAAATATTATCTTTCAAATTTTATATGTGTAGAACACGCGTCCTGTGACGTTGATTGATATAAGATGAGTCATGACATTATTAACGAAAGTGTATTTACTGTCTTGAGCTATTTCAAAAAACAACATAATCTAAATTGTTAAAAATAAAAAAAGTACACATCAAAAATATATTCAATTGATATAAAGTAATATATCAATTAAATCTTAAGAAATACAAGAAACTTAATTATAATTAAATTATTTTTCAGTGAAAATAGAAAAAAATGCATGTGTATGTGTTTTCTTTTTGTTGTTAAAAATATAGAGAATGCAAATCAACAATATCATGAAACAGTGTAATCAAAAAATGAAATCAGTGTTATAAAAGTTTTGTTTTTAAATAGTTATTCATCTAGTATTTTATTATTCAAACTATCATACATGACTTTCTTAATTATTAAATTGTTTCGATCGATCAGTCTGTTGCATGACATTTCTGTATCATTATTGGAGGCATAACTCAGCACTGTAGACAGGACAGTACAGAATGCTTGAATCTTACAAGAAAGGATGTTGTGTAGACAACTTTCAAAAATAGAGAGAGGTATCACACTCCATATGTTTCTGTTCATTATTCTGTACAAAATAAAATGCAACGACAAACAAATAGTTTAATCAAAATAATATTTCTATTTTTGACTTTTGTTCGCAAGCCATTTATTCTAAAACATACTTCATATTTCAACACCTTACATCGACATTATATTTCATTTATCTTTTACAAAAAATATTCCACAACTTATGACAATATAAAACTTAGATGAGCTATTCAAAACAAATCACAATAGATACGCTACATTTTAATGGATATTTCTAATAAAATTACAAGATTATCTGTCATTAATTGTGTTTTTCGTTTGTATTTTTACGATAGAGATAAACTATACTCTAACGAAAAAAAAAGAAAAAGAAACTAAGAAATGCGACCGATTGACAAAAATGTAGAGAAATAAAAGACTCAAAACTAATTAACACATTATCAATCGATCACCACGTTGTGAACAAAAATAACATCGTTTTTCAAACCATGTTAATTGTCCTGGATATATTAAACGATGAGAACCACTACCAGTTCGAAGTAAACATGGTATTGCTTTAACAATATTCGGCATTGTTGGTGGTAATCTATAATGACCAATAGCTGCTGCTGGTTGTTTATTGTTGTTGTTGTTGTTGTTATTATTATTATTAGCACCAACATTGATTTTAACAACTTGATCACAATTACTACATTTTCTTTGTCCATTAACACACATACATGAACGACATTTTTCATTTTGTGGTGTTAACCATCTTGTACCCGATGGAAAATAATACATTATTGAAACTGGCCGTTGTTTATGTAAAAGACAAGGACGAGCACATGCTTGATGAATGAATTCACATTTTAATTGACCATTTAATGTACATGAACATCGTGTACATATATTACGATCAATCCATGATGTTTCACGAGGAATTTCAATATAACGACTTGATTTGTTAGTGATATTTATTGATGATAAACGTTCAATTAATATACAAAATTTCGGTATACTATCTAATGAACATTCAGGTTGTATACGTAAAGTCGTTACGCGATGATTAATACGATATGTTTTGGTATAGGAAGAAGGATTATTTCTAATAAAATAAAAAATAAGAAAATAATAATTAATATTTATTTTATATCGTAAATTACAACTTTCATCATTCGTTTTTGTTCGTACTGTAAATAATCTCCATTTATATGAAAATATGTTGATTACCTTAAAACTTGCTGTGATTGAGGATTTATTGTTCGATTTCTATTTAATGGCAGTGCTTTTCTACATAACCAATGTCCATTTTGAGCACATCTACATCCAGTGCATCCATCTCTTGATCTTATACGTAAACCGGTTCGATTTCTTGAACAAATTACCATACGTTGTCGTATAGCAGGAAAATCTCCAGTAGGCCATTTTGATAAATCCTTGGCTGTTGGTAATGTACCATTAATTGATCGAAGAATAGTCAATGAATCAGAAGCAACAGATTGTTGTTGAGTGTAAAAGATACGTATTTTACCTTCTTCACACACACAATGAGGAGAACCCGGTGTATCCACTCGACCCCATGTGGCACCATTTGCAAAACGATGTCCTTGATACCAACACTCACCAGATTCATAGCCGGGTCCTGACCAAGTATACAATTGAATGTCTACTGGAAGACATTCAATATCATTATTGATCGTAACAAAACCTAAGCAATTATGCTCAGGTTTTGATACTAGTAATAAAAATAAAACGAGCAAACGATGGAACGAAATTCTCAAAAAGAAAAAGCAAATCGATTTATTATTATTATTTTTTTTAATTTATGCTACATACTTTGAGATAAAAATCTGTATAGAAGCCAGACTCTTGACCTAATATTAACACCAATTAATAATATATTACTGTTCGATGACTATATCTAAATATTTGACAATTTTCTATATTCTATTTATATAAGATTACTTCTTCATAATAGATAGAACGAATGAAAGAGAACAAATAAATAAAGAAATCAGAACCTGTTGAAGAATTTATATATTTATAATTTGTTTGCCAATGATAGCTATACTACTCTCATATAATTCGGATTATTCCCGTCTATTCTCCGTTCGATGTGAAAAAAAAAACAGAAAGAAAGTATTTCTACATGTCAATACACTAGTAAACGCCTACAAGTTCTATCTTAGATGCATACATGCAAAAATAAACAGAGCATATACATCTCTCGTTTCATATAATTAAAAAAACACTTATCAATAATACTCTTCAGATCAACAGACATATAGGCTTTTTGATAGCATAGACATCAGAAAATGTCTGTTGATATACATTTTTTCTTTCAAGAAAAAATTATAAATTAACCTTCATATTTGAAGAATAACGTATTTCTACTTTCTTTCTTCGGTATATTTTTTTTTTCTACAAATCAATATGAATCTTTCATTACCTTTCATTTTCTTTTTTCTTTCGATAATATCGAATCATTTTTACGATTATAAACCAAACATATAATCAATAAAGTGCATATTTTTCTAAATCAAAATATTTTGTGAACTCAAAAAAAAAAAGATAGAAAAAAAAAAAAAACAAAATCTGATCTCCATGCCTTCACGTTCTTATATCTGCTCTTTCACATTCTCACGATTAGTAACAAAAACAAATCAAAAATAATAATTTAAGAAAAATAACTCAAGAAATTCTATTTCTCTTTCTCTTCCTCCCTCGACTTTTTTTTTTTTCGTATGATTCAAATAAAAAGAAAAGAACGAGCTGCAACAGCCAGACACATATATACTAATAAGTTCTTTGACCTGGGACAAAGCCTTATATGGAACATCGTAAAAACAGTGCATACATAAAACTCAATCTGTTGCATTCTGACAAGTGTGTTTTATTTCAAGTGATTTAATAATATTGAATTGATCTGCATACCGCAACATATTTTTATTTAGTCAATGGTCAACAATCGTTAAGCATCCTTATTTTGTTTATTTTTCTTTTTGTGTCTTGCCTTTAGGAAATATTTTTATATCTACTATAGTATAGCTATTAATATTGTATCATTCTCATGAGAAAATCATAAATTCTCTTCATATCTATCTAGGAAAAATTTGATCTAATCTCTATAGTTTGTTTTCTTGACATTATATCGTAGTTGATTATAGTAGTAAAAGTGTGAGACATTCTCTAATTTTAATTCTTGTTTGAGTATTAAAAAAAAAAAAGAAACAAATCTACCATGATTTTTCTTTCTTCATTTTCAGCGATATATTCCATAATTCTTTTTTTTTCTTCTCCCATAACAAATCAAAATAATCTTCAGAGAATATCGTATAACAAAAAATAAGATTTGGTAGATGGCTACTATGTCTAAATACACAAACGTTTCCTATAATCCGGATATAATCATTCAATGATGAAACATATCCTAGTTGAATTGAATGCAAATTTATATATCTTATTCAATTAGTATTAATCGAAAATGACGTGATTACAGATAAAAACAAGAATACTGAAGCAATTATTTTTTTTTTTCTTTTTCCTCAAGGACATCATTGTTTCTTATAGATGAAATATGGAAAATATTGATTTGTGATCTAGTACGATAAGAAATTAAATATGTATCACTCATATCATCATCATCAAAATAGGTATAATAAATTAGCCTCGAGGGAAATCAATTTTTTACTATTCGTATGTTTGTGAATTCCAAATATATATGACAAATAACTAGACTGTTTTTAAAAATAATAATTTTTAATATAAATACGATGCAAAATCATTGAATATATATGAAATGTCATACTTGTCATATAAATATTGCTAATAATTAATAAAAAAAAAATTGATCGTAGTTGTTATACGGAATAATTTTCACATCAATCACAAAAGATACTTTTACACAATGCATTTTTAAAAATAATCTATAAAATGTATACAAATAGATAAAAACATATCTAAAGAAAGATTTATTGATTGGAATGTTTGATCCCGATTCTAAATGGGGAATCAGTGATCTTTTACTACATAAGAACAATTAGTCAGAATTGTGATTTGTAACGATCTTGTTCGATTCAATAGAGAATTTTATACTTGTCAATCTCAGTTATTTTTCAGTTTATGTATGTTTTTTTCTTAGAAAATTGATCATAAGAATCGTTTTGTCAAAGAAATCAATTACTTTCTACTGATGACGAAGACTATTTTCATGCACGAACATGCATCAGATTTTTTTTATCGGATGAAAATTCTTCATAGTATACTTAATAGATTTTCAAAAACTCATTTGAATAACAAATTATGTAATTAAGACAACAGCAAATGCTTATTATTTAGTATTGTGGTTTATTATAGATTTATTTATACCTCTCACTATTTATAACGTACATTTCATACAAACATAAGAGATAACAAAATGAATATACCATGAAAACGGACTAAATGTAGCATTAATTCATAATATCCATGTCTGACAAGCATTAAATCAATCTACAAAAGTAGCTATCAAATTTGTGCGCCTAGAAAGATTTCTGTCTACTGATTAATGCCAACTGAGAACAACAAATATGAATTAAATAAATAATGACAAGCATTATTTTAGTGAAGTAGAAGGACTGTTACATAATCAAGTAAAATTGCAAAAAATAGAAAAGTGAAAATGTCAAAAATCACAATATCAATAATGTTAAATATTGAATCAGATTATTGAAAATTTTCTAATAATGCATTTTTCTATAAGTTAACTTTGTCAAGTAAAAGAAAATATAGATTTTTGTATTATTGTCGAGTGGAAGAATTAGAATATGGGATGAATGCATGAAGAGAATAACGACAGCTATTTCCGCAGTGACATTCACACCCTCATATTTTTTCTTTAATAGAGATTAGAAATTTTTCGACATTTTAATTTATGATGATGTTTCTTCATCTAATTCATAATTACAGTAGTGATTGAGCAGCAGATATAAATATCATTTGATGAGAAAAGCGAAGAATAATTTATTCTGGTTTGATCTGTTGCCGATGTCGATAGTAAGGAAAAAGTCCAATCGATTTCAACTTTCGTAGTCAATAAAAATTATGTACTCAAAACGTCACAAAAGAATCATCTGTGTCACTTTTTTAGTAGTTGTCCTTGCCGCTACTCAATTTCATACAATTCATAACATCAGAGATAGACATGACATTTACAGAATTATTTCTCTTTGAAATTTTTAAATTTAGAAATTAATTTATAAATTTTTAAAAGCTATCAATTTTGTTTGCTATTAAACATTTTACAATTGAATTTTTTTAATAACTTCATTGCATTGACTGACTAAACTATTTGTATCACATTTTCATTCTGTTAATATTCATGAATATGAATTTATTAAAATTACAATTAAATCAATTCATATTTTTCTATTAAAAAAAAGAAAAAATGATTATTCATATGTGTGTCTATGAGGTCGAATTGGAATGACATCAATACGTTTTTCATCGAGGTCTATAGATTTATAATATTCTTTTGAATGTGTTGTTTCAAAAAATATATTCACTAAATTAAACAAGATATATTTTATAATAAACATTAAAAAAAAAAAAAAGAAAATTTCTTTCAATTTACGAGGTGTTTGTTCTGATAGTGTATATTGTTGATTTAAATTTCGACGTGTTAAATCTTCAAAATTATCATTAGCAAATATATTAACAAAAGTTCGACCAAGTGTTGTATCTTGAGAAAAAATTCGTAATAAAAAATCACAATTTTGATCAACATCTGCCATACTAGGAACAATTAAATATGCACCTGTTGTTGTTTTCAATAGTAAAGAAACTTCACGACGATTAACTTTTTTTTTTTTAATAAATCATAGATATAAAAAATAAATAAGAATATTTATACTTACCATAAGGACCTGTTGATGCTTTAAAAAAAACAAAAAAAATAAAAATTTTATTTTGTGAAAGTTTACTTTTTTTTTTCTTTTAACCTACCAATTCGTTCAACTTCATCAGGTTTATAAATTTTTTTCTCATATATTTTAACGTTTGGTTTTATTTTAAAAAGACGAATTTGTATATATTGTTCATTTGATATGATATTTGAATTATTTGTTATTGGTTTTTGCATTAATGCAATTATCATCATACATAATCTATTGGAATTAAATGAACGATTTAATGTTAATTCAATAACAAATTGTGGATTACGCCAATAATAACAACCATGACGACAACCTGAATTTCCACATGAACCACCACTATTTTCACCAGCACGCCATGAACCAAGTACATACCACATACGCCAATGATGTTTGGAATCTTGAATAGTTAATCCAAATTCTTAAAGAAAAACGAATTATCATCGAAAAATTTGTTTTCATAATTTTTTTTTTAGATATTTGGTTCATTCGTCTTATACACATTGTAAAACACTATTATTTATAATCATTTTAAAGAGCTTTGCGAGAATTTTTGTGAAACTAGAGATGTAAAATAAAATCTATGATATTAAGACATTAGTTATTAACATAGATGCAACTTTTCTATGAGTTTCCGATAATGTAAATATATTTATGATGTGTCTGATAACATGAAATTTACTGGTGAAGTCCCATGAGAATCGTACAGCTGATATCCGCTGTTCTGTAGCAATAATAAATCTTTATAAATTACTAATTGTATCTACATCTGACTTGTTCTGTATGACGTCTTCCTCTCTTCAGCTCTATGTTCATATCAGAAATAGACCGTTGAGACTTGAAGCATGCAAATCATCGGTGACTATTGACTCACACATAACGAGAGACTCAACATTATACATATATATAGATGATTTGAACTGAATGAACTTTTCGCTGATTGTCTCAAATTTGTTCGAAAGATAAGAAATATCGAAAACTGAGTTGAAGACTTATGAGTATTCTTTCATTCAGAAAATTAAAAAACTAAACAGCTAAATTTGAATTAAATGTTTATTTTTGAAAAAGAAAGAATGAAAAAAGAACAAAAACATTCCTAAATATTAGTCGATCGACCTTAAATAATGTTCCTATTATGTAATTATAAATTGTTTTTTTTTTGCTAAAATAATAGACGAACTGTTGTGAAGGTCAGATAATGTAATAAGATAATATTATTAGATAGGCATTATGATGGACACGTCATAGACTAGGAAAGACTGGACGTTTATATGATCAAAGATCATATGTCAATAATAAGTAACTATATTGTGCGTCACATTTTAATCCCACAGGAATTATAGTAACAAATTTTTGAATTTTAACCAATTCTATTACCTCTTTCAGTACTGTTGATGATTTTTGTTTTTAGAAATAAAAACTTATTAGTTTCCTAATTTGAAATAGAAACAAAATATTTGATTCAATTTAAACAATAGTAAAATTGTCTTTATATTATGAAGTGATCATATCTTTTGAAATATCGTACATATTTTCGGTTTTATTTCATCGTTTTTTTTTTCTATCATTCAAAATTCAATTATATTTTACCATCATATGTATCTGGACTAATATGACAAACTTCCATAACATCAAATTCTTTATAAAAATCATTAAATGACATCCAAAATTCTCCATCATGTTTTCTTTGTATACTTAATCTTTTTCGTGTTTTTTCATCGAGTAAATTCCAAACAGGATCAGCATCAGACCATTTTCCATTCCATTCAATATCATTTCCCCATGGATTTCGAAAACGAATTAAACCACGATCACTTAATTTTGATAAATGATTATCATATGTTAATGGTAATATATAATAATTTGTTATTGAATATGTATGACCAATAACAAGACCATTAGATAAAATTGTTTCTATTTTTCGTTTATCTGCATTTATTGAACAAGCTATAAGTGAACCATAATCAATACATGATTTAATAAAATCAAATAAATCATCTGAACGTAAATGTGTTATAGATAAATTTGATTTAAATTCAAAACGTTGTTCAATACCACCAGTAAAATCTGTTAAAGCATTAACTGGTAATCCACCACCTAAATTTGTATAATTTCCATTTAATTTTGCATAAGCTTTTTCAAGTAATGAAACCCAAAATTCATTTATTTCAAATAGATTTCTTGCACCCCATAATCGTTTTTGTTTAATTAAAAATGGTAAACGATCATCAATAACAATATCATACCATTGTTGATAACGCCAAAAACAAAAATGAAATATACCAGCTAAAAATATATAAACAAAAAAAAAGAAAAATATATCTCATCTACTCACCATACCAATCTTTATTAAATGATTGATCAGGTGGAATAACTCGTTTAAGTACTGTACTATTTTGTGTTAAAGCACTCATAGCTGCTATAAACCAACAATTACCTACAAAAAATAAAACTGATGATTAATATTCTCTTTTTTTTATTTTTTTCGTTTTGATAGAATTTACCTAAATCACCTTGATTTGGATCAGTACGTTTTATTCCATTGACAATTAATTGTGGATCATCAACAATTTCATTTGGACGTTTCCAAATAATATCACGCCAATTAGGAATTAATTTTTGATAATTATTAGATAAAGATTCTGGTTGTGCTGGAAAAATTGGATCTTCAAAAAGTTTTCGTTCATGACGACATTGTAAACGAATCGATTCAAAATCTTGACCTTCATATAGTCGAATTGTATGTTCCCACTTTGTCATAGTTTATCAATTATATACAAAAAGCTATATGTATATAAATTCATTGTTTTGTAGACTACTTAAAAAAACAAAAAAAAAAAAGAAGACGATAATATTATTAATCAAACGCGCTTGTTTTTTTTTTACAATTATTTTCGATCCTAAGAATAAAATCAATCTAGTTCAAGGTTTTAATCTCATGAGAAAACATCACCGATTGATAATCTCCATTTGAGCTTGTATAGTGTTTAATAGTAAGGCTTATAGAGTAGGAAAAAATCCCAAAAGTATTCGACCCATAGCTACTACGTTCCAGTGAAACAAATATAACAATTTTCTTTAAAAATGACATTATTCTATTCTGTTTGAAGAAAGAAAAGATTTTTATATTTCAATAAAAGAATATTTCTACAAGTTGATGTTATTTTGAAACTTATATCATGCATAATTACATGTTATAGAAAGAACAACTATATTTTAGTTAATTTTTTACAAGTAAAGATGAATAATTTGGAGAATAGCGTACGGAAAATTTAATAGACTAAGATACACGAATTAGCTGATACACCTTCGAGATAGAGTCTGTGACATTATTAATAATGACACATAAATGCTATCTATTACATTTTAGTGTATGATTTAGAGAGAAAAATGTTTGAAACTTGTTTGAGTTTTTGCTACTCTTATAAACTTTCATTAATCTCATAGTTAATGCTGCTTGTAGAGACTGTGTCAGGGTCTTAAGGTTTTGGGGCGGGGTATAAAAAAAAATCTCACAATCAATCATTTACTTCCAGTTACTTTTATTGTACTGTGATTACACATGCTCTTTATGAGAGAAAAAGCGTCATACGTTGATTTTCCGTGTTAGATACAGCTGATCCAAATTATTACAACAGATATATCTAAATATTGTTCAAATCACAGTGGTTCTTTGTGACACAAATGAAATTGCATCTAATATTCATTTCAAAATATAATGTGTTTCACTTGTTTTTGAATAAATTTTCATAGAAACATCATAGAGATGTGCAATTTTGCAATATCAGTCTATTGATCTGTAATCACCAAGACAAGGAGCTAGCCAGAGATAATTCACTACATACAGTCGAATGGTGATATTTCTTGTTAGATTTGAACTGATCGGACTTTGTAATCTTAATATTTTTGGAATCTCATAATCATTCTTTATGTAACGAAGGAGTCGATATTTCGAAAATATTGTCATAACAGTGTCAGATCTGACTTCGAACATCATTGTTCAATTCAATATACTGGATTACGCCTGTCTAGTTGCTTTTATAAGGAAGCACAGATCAATTAGCTAAAATCAAAAATCTCAGGAAAATTGTTATAACTCTCAAACGAAACAAGTTAGAAATGTCGGTCTTGTGTAGATTACAAAAACAACAAGTCACTATGATGTTTCTATCAAAACTTATTTCAAAAAAATAATGAAGCACATTATATTTTGAACTGTATAGTCGTCTCCAACATTTTATACTCTTATCATTCGATAGTGACATCACTATGGTTTTAGTTTTTCTTTGTGTCTCTTGCCAAACACACTCAATTGATTTTTATCTCTTATGAAAAGTATTTCTAATAACAGAACAATGAAATGAAATCAGAATCAATGAATGACTGCAATTTTCTCTGAATCAAATGATCTGATGATTTTTTGCATAATTTGAGAAATCATTTACATATTAATCAATAAGAAAAACTTTTATTTCTATATGTATATATCATATATGATTTCATATCATATTGGCAATAGACTCATTGATTCAATGGAAAATTTATTAATAAGAACTTCTATTCAAGGTTACATTTGTCAATATAAAAATGCAGCTGGTGTTTCTTTTTTTTTTCTCTTGATTTTCACATGACAAGAGTGCTTTTATTTCTCTTCATCTGTTATTGATTATAAATCAATTTTTTTTTTTTTTGAATATAATCCAAACAAAACACTTTCATAATCGTTAGAAATCATTTTACAATTCTAAACGTTAATCTGTCTGTGATTAATATTCAAATATGTTGAGCTTCAATGATCATAGTATATAAACTCATCAACAAATCATTATAATCTAGTGTTCTCTTTCGTTATATTTAAATGGCAAAATAATGGTGAAATTTTTTTTTTCTTCTCTTTTCTTTCTTTTCTTGCTGTTCTCTTTTGGTTACGACGAGAAATAAAAATACAATCATACTTGACAAGAAAGCAAGTTCATTCAAGAGTAGAAAATCATATAAAATAAATCGTAAGACATACTGTTCCATGCATCATTTATTGTCTAGTTAACATCTGTTCTCATATTTCTTAAATTATTATATACTACTACCTGCATTCATCATTGAACTGTCGGCATTACGCTTGCATTTATTCTCGTTTTTGTTCTCTTTCTCTCGGCATTTTATCAATAAAAACAGAGACAAAATCTGTCATTTTCTATCAACATTCTTTTATTCAACAACTAACAGTAGTAGAGTAATCGTCCATTCGATTGCATGCATATAAACTCTCCAATCTTCTCTTGATATCTTAAAAAAAAAAGTTGCGTGTTTGTTCTTCAGAGTATCCGTCAATTCCGTAAGTACGACTAAGTAAGTAATGATGAATAAATCGGTTTACACATACGAACATGAGAAGTATTATTTAGCGGAAAAAAAAAGAACAGAAAAAAAAAAAGAAACGATGGATAATGATTAATGAACAGAGCAGCTAGTCATATTGTAAATAATTAGAATGAAAGTAAGCTAAAAGAAAAGTTATGCCTTTTTTTTTTTTTGTATTGCCGCATTTGATACAAGAAACTAATGTACCGACAAGTCAATCTTTAAAAAAAGAAAATTTTCTTTTCGTCTATTGTTAACAAATGATCAGATAGACGGTAAGTTGTTCATGATAAAAAGCTGGTCCATTGCATTTATAGATGTACATTACAAGTTAAAAGAAATTTAAAACTTGAAAGGTATCATTTTTCTTGACAAACACATTGTTTTTTTTTTGTTTGTTAAAGAGTACAAAATTTTTCAGCTTCTCGTTTTTTTTCCTCAGCTGCTGTGAAAAGCTTTTTCTTTTTTTTCGAATGCATCATTAAAAATTGAGTATGGTCAAGTTGTTAAGTCGATTTCAATTTGACAAGACTTTTGATGATGATGTCTCAAATCACTATTATAGTGATTTATCATATGACCAATCATAAAAATATGCATCGCTTGTTTTCTATATTACTTTATTGCTGAGAAAACTTTTTTTTTCTAATGAGGAATGATCCAGAAGTTAGATCATACCTGAACTTCAGCAGAATAACTGTGAATTTTTAGTTTGAAAATCTTAAGTTTCCTATTATTTGAGCTCTCAGTATTGAAAACCGAGTATATACATTCACGCAATTCATAGAAATAGAAGTTCTAATAACTCCTATACTTTGAATAATTTTTTAAAATTCTTCTAATTCCATTTTCTAGAGAAACATGGGACAAAACAACTTAATAGAATGTAAATTATTGAAAACGAGATATCTGTTAAGATTTTTATTACTCTATCATTACAATAACAATTCCAGAAAGTCTTCATAAGTTTTTCAGAAATGCATTGAGATGCGTACATTCACAGAAATAATGGTATGAAAATATTCAAAATTTAGATGTAATTAGGACTTTTATTTTTGTTGATTGTCTAAATGTGTATCTTCCGTTAACGCGCATACAATACTAACGTTTTTAATGCAACGAGCTAAACTCATATAAAAATCAAGAACTTACTCATTTTTCTGAAGTTTAGATCGACCCAACTTCTCAATAATAGTTTATGGAAAAGAATGGTTTATACTATGGTGATTACCTGATTGAGCTGTACATATTGACAAAATTCCAGTTGAAAACGAAAATTTACACTCGAGAATTTTCCATAATAAGCTTTGAATCAAAAAGCTAAAAATTTGCACGTAAATCTCAGTTCTTTTTTATATTAACAAAACATTTTTTTTAGCGAGACAAGTATCACATTCAAAATCTGAACTCATTGATGTAGGTTTTGAAACTAACTCTTACTTGTTTGTTTGTTTTTTTGCAGGAAAGTTTCAAACAACACTTTTTTCAGTGGAAAACTCAGAATCTAATCAACTTTTTGGCAATTATCAAAGAATGCATTATACAAGCTCTATTTTCATTACTTTTATCGTCTAAAAGTTTCCTTTCTTTTTTTTTATAGAGGAGAATTGAGACTTACGAGCAGAATTTCAATTTTTTGATTCAAAATTGAAGAAAAAAGATTCTTCATTAGTTTATATGACTAGTGATATGAGAAATCGAACGAGATAAGATATTTCATTTTCTCACTTAAGTAAAAAATAGTAGCAACTCGAGAGGTATCATCATGAAAAATTTTTCCGACTTGAAGTCAATTTAACAATTTGTCAATACTCAATTTTTAGTACTGCATTCTCATAAGAAATAATTTTAGAAACTAAACAAATTTCTTTCAATTTGAAAAGAATACCCATAAATTTTAAGGTCTCGTTTTTCATGATCATCAAGACATATTCTATCAAAGAATAGGTAAAAAAGAAAAAGTTTTACTTAAAATTTGAATTTACCTAATATTTTGTATGTATTATTTTATTTCAATTAAAATTATAAAATGCTCAAAGATCGATTGATTGTCTATACGCATTTCGTTTTGAATGATAACTAACGAATAGCATATGGACATATCATTGATTAAAAGCAATTCGTCATCAAAATTAAGACAGTTAATTTTGTTTCTTTTTTTTTTGATTAACATAGACAACATTTAGCAATAAACAATATTGTGTTACAAGTACTAATTATATTGTAAAATTAAGAATAAAATTGATTAAATGAAAGTTGAATTTCTATCATTTTATATTTAGATCATCCATTGAAATAATTCAATTGTGTAGTACGTACTCATACTTTTAAAATATAGAAAAACAATTACGCCAATGTGTATTCAATGATCATTATCAATCTTACTAGTAAATAATTGATTCGTATCATGTGACGACTATTTTATGAATTATGGAAGCTATCTATCAGAATTGATTATTGGTAATAATTTCATCGAAATGACTGTAAAAACCAAATTGTCAAATTCAAGAACGATTTCATATACATAGTAAAAATCAAGATTTGTCATTTCAAAATTGTGAAGACGACAAAACGTAAAATCTAGTTGATTGACAATTGATTTATTAGTATTTCATAGTTTTTTTTTTTGTCTGCTTTATATAAGTTCATTTTTCTTATTATGAACAGATTAATCATAAAGTTGGTATTTTTGACTATGTGAATTCTAATCGAAACGAATAATGTCGTTTTGTATTTATAACGGATTAAGTGATATATCGAATGATTTTAGTCAAGATGGACGAAAGACATTTGAAATATGAATATATCTGTAAAAAATAAATTATTGATCTCTTTTCTTCTAGTTTGATTCGTTTTTATCGTTTGAAATCTTTAATGAATATCTTTCATACAAACAAATATGACTTCTTGAGATTTATTTGATCTTGTAGTGATCAAGTACAAGACATAAATAAAATATCAATAGTATTAACATTAATAATTGTTAATGATAGTACTTAAAAATACGAACATTCACATATTGACATATTTTCATAAGTTCTACTTTGATCTTTATATTATATACATTTTGAGAAAAGTCTCTAAGGATCTATTCATTGATTTATCTATGTCGTTTTGTTTTACATTTGCTTACTTTTGATGAAGTATTTGCATCACATCACACCTGAAATGTATACTTGACAATTACATCTTCAGATAACGGCTAGTTCAAATCAATGAATTAGATGGAGTTTGATAATATACATATCAGACATTACGAATATCTCATGACATCGATTGAAATGTTAAAAACATTTATACACAAATATTTCCTTGTACATCTCAAAAAAAAAATTTGTTTTTGCTAAATTATTTAACAGTCAGGTACAAAACCTTTTCATAGTTTTCCTTTGGTATTAGCAATAATCAAATAAATATGTTTGAGACTGATTTTCTATATTTGACGTATGTCTACTATTGCTGTCTTTCATATCCTACATTTGTTCGGACTACTATCGATATACGCCAGTACTCATATAAATCAGTAGTGGCGCTTACGATTTTCTATTTCAATTATAAGCAATTGCAAACAGTCTCTTCTACCAAAATTCAAATTAGTCGAGAAGAAAACAATTTTAGAATATATTTTATCAATGAAAATTTTTTGCAGCACCATCTAGAGTAATAAATTTATCTCATAGCTAGAACCGATTTTGGCTCTGTGGATACTATAGGCGATTCATGAGGAAACATGGGCGACTGTTAATCATCGATCGATGTAATATTTTGCTTATAAGCGGGATTCATTGAGAATAGAAACAGCTTGGAAAGATTTTCTTCTCATACCCATACCTTACGAAGTTATGACCATTTTATTGGACTTTCAGCTTATGAAAAGATATTCATAAAGAAATCAAAAACAACTATTTTTCACCTTGATTTTTGCGCATAAATAGGCTTCTTACTCCTGAATATATACGTGAAATTTGAGTCAAAATAAATGATTCCTTTTCGAAATATTCAATCTTTAAAAAAAAACAATCACGCTAACTTTTCTTCATTATTTAATATGTTGAACAAAAAAACCATCTGATTTAACTGAAACCTTAAAGAAATTCTAAGGATCAAGAGATCTAGCTATGAACATAAATTCAAATGCAAAATCTTTCTTTTTAATTTTTCTATGTATACCTTGTCATAAGCCGAAAATTCAGTAAAAAGGTCATAATTCCTTAAAGACCGTCACTGGGGGGAAAAAAACCTCTTTCAAGCTTTTTCTAATTTCACCAAATCTCAGTTCTAAGCAAATTATCATATCGATCGATGATTAACAGTTTGACATCTTTTCTCGTCAAAGATATCAACACTATCAAAGTGCATCGAAGTCGACTGATTTCTGTAAAGTTTTAATAGATTTCAAAAATATTCATTCATTTAGACACAATACACCATTATACAATAATTTCAAAAAAAAGAAACGATGGTAGTTTCTCGAAAGTTATTATCTGGATAAATAGATATCATAATCTATCAAAATTACAAAGAGTTTGTTGTTGTTGATTTCAGAAATAATAATTTAAAAAAATTATTTTAGAGTTTCTGAAATAAATTTTATTTTTTTTTATAAGAATCTTTAAAAAATTTTCGAATTAAAATAAAAAAAGTTTTCTTTCATTTGTTTTGCTTTTTATATTCAACAATAAGGATTCGAAAATAATTCATATTAATAATCAATTTATGAATAGTTTTTCTAATCGATTGACTTCATCTTAAGATATACTATGATCTTCATTTTATTATAATAATTTACTTTGATTAATAAAGAGAAAAAAATTCAATTTAACATGAATTAAAAATTTGTAACATAATTTATTTAACTATTTTCCTTTATACAAAAACCATAGTTTAACATTCATTTTTATTGATTGTCGAAGAAACAAAAAAATCCCATTCATCAAAGTTTTATGATTTTGTTCTTTTTAGAACAAGAAAAAAAAAAACGAAACAACGGGCTGTTTTTTTTTTGTTCAGCAAAGAAACTACTCTTCTTCAAGGTACATGAATAATTGCTAAAAATATAATACATTATATCGCACTTCATTTTTTTTTTCTTCTTAAATATACGTATACACATGTTTAACACAATCGGAGTCTTTCTCACTAAATCACAACTGTCTTCTCGATTCATAAATTTGTTGAAGGAGAGAAAAAAAATGAGTCAAATGATTGTAATTCTGAGTTTTTTTTTCTTTTTCGTTCGTTTCTTTATTTTTTTTTTTTTTTTATTCTGATCATGTTATCAAAGAAAAATGACGTTCTTTTATAGTCACACATACGCATAGCGACTTGTGCGAGTCGCTTTTTTTTTTCTTTTTACCTTTTAGTTCGCGATGCCATTTATTACATTGGATATAACAACGTTAGAGAAAAAAAAAACAAAATGTAAATCTTATTCATTTCTAGATGACAACTAATACTACAAATCGAAATGCTCGAAAACATCGAAAATTAGTTATTGTTGGTGATGGTATGTGTGGTAAAACATGTCTATTATTTGCTTTTAAAGATGATCGATTTATTCCAACCCATGATGCAACTATTTTTGATACATATGTAGCTGATATTCAAGTTGATGGAAAAATAGTAAGTTAATAGAAAGTCGTTTTTGTTTTGTAAGTCATAACAATATTCTTTACTTATAGATTGATTTAGCTCTTTTTGATACAGCTGGTCAAGAAGATTATGATCGTCTTCGTCCATTATCATATCCTGACACAAATATTGTTCTCATATGTTTCAGTGTTGATAGTCCAGTATCAGCTACAAGTGTTATTGAGAAATGGGTACCAGAAATTCGACATTTTTGTGGTCAATGTCCAATAATATTAGTTGCATGTAAAAAAGATCTGAGAACAGATTCACAAACAATTGCAAAATTAAAATATGAAGGTGAAAAACCGGTGACAACTGAAATTGGAAAACGAATAGCAACACAAATTAAAGCTGATTCTTATATGGAATGTTCAGCTAAAACTCGTGAAGGTGTACAAGATTTATTTATTCAAGCTGCACGTTTATCACTTAGAAATCATTCTCATAGAAAATCACGTCTCAATTGTGTTTTGTATTGAATGAAATTTTATATTGGTCATTTTTTTTCTTCTAATTGCTCGAATATATTGTGCTATTTAACTTTATATATACATTTATAAGTATCATAAATCACATTGGTGATACTATTTGTTCTCTTCTTTTCTAAATATACCGGACAAAATATTTATAATTTAAATATATAATGATTATTTTTTGAATTATTTATTTAATATATATTGTTTAGAAAAAGAGAAAATATCACGGATGAAAGTATTTGTAATTAATTAGTATTATTAAATTCAATTAAATAAGAAAGATTCAACAAATCAGACTTCAAATTTTTCAAATAATATATAGAAAAATAAAAGGATTTTTGACGAAAAAGAAAAATTGTTGATTAATGTTTGATTCTACATACTTTTGTCTTCAAAGATGTGTGTTCATACACTTTTAAAGAAATCATCGGTGTGAAATACGAAAAAAAAATTCTGAATAAATCATTAATGATTTGAGCTATTTAAACAAGTACAAGAAAACAACTATTTTTATCTTTTATGATAGTTGAAAAGAAACATTTGTCAAATAAACTTGGTAAATAAATCTTGTCTTAATGCTAAAGTCATGATATCAAAGCATGGATAAGACATTTGTTTTCCTTCTGTTTTGATAACATATGTTGAAAAAAAAACAATAAATTTCGAGTACATAAATACCGAGAGTAAAATTGGATGTTACTTGCCTGAGTGTCATTTCTCATCGAAATTAAATCAAATATAATTTTACTTCGTTAACAATGTGAAAGAGTTTTATTCATTATTTCAAAATGATTACTCCTAAAAATCAGCTTAGTCAAGACTATAGAAAATTAGTTATTGTTGGGAATAGTATGTGCGGTAAAACATCTCTTTTACTTCCCTAGTCGACTTTCCCTAATGAAATCCCCAGGGAGTCCCTACAAATTGTGAAATCCCTGGGGAGTCCGTTACGGGACTCCCCGGGAGTTAATCAAAAACCCAGCAAATCTGCTGGAGGAAGCTTTTTGGGAGTTTTTGAAAATTCCTAGGGACTCCTCAAATGATCATCCTGGGAGTGCCTAGGAGTTTTCAAAAACTCCCAAAAAACTCCCTTTAGCAGATTTGCTGAGTTTTTGATTAACTCCCGGGGGGTCCCGTAACGGACTCCTCAGGGATTTCACAATTTGTAGGGACTCCCTGGGGATTTCATTAGGGAAAGTCGACTAGGGTTGCTTATAAAGACAATCAATTTATTCAAACGTCTAATGCTACTATTTCTAAGACACATGTAATTGATATTCAAGTCGATGGACAAACAGTAAGTCAATAGAAAGTCTTTTTTTTTATTTTAAATAACAATAATTTTCTTTATTTATAGATTGAATTAGCTCTTTTTGATACAGCTGATTTAGAAGATTATAATCTTCTTCGTCAATTATCCTAACCTAATACACATGTTGTTCTCATATGTTTCAGTGTTGATAATCCAGTATCACTTGTGAATGTTACTAAAAAATGGATACCAGAAGTTCGAGTTCATTGTAATCAATGTCCAGTGATATTAGTAGCATGTAAAAAAAGATCTGAGAACAGATTCACAAACAATTACAAAATTAAAATACAAAGGTGAAAAACCGGTGACAACTGAAATTGGAAAACGAATAGCAACACAAATTAAAGCTGATTCTTATATGAAATATTCAGCTAAAACTTGTGAATATGTACAAGATTTATTTATTCAAGCTGTTCGTTTATCACTTAGAAATCATTCTCATAGAAAATCACGTCAAAATTGTGTTTTGTGCTAGCTGAAATTTTATATTGTTGATATGTTTTTTTTTCTAAACAATCAATTATAATACTATAAGACTTTCCTATGCAATGAGATTGCTTTTAGGATTTTTATCACAAGATCAACAAGACTCATATATTGTTTATTTTTTTCTGACTCCATGTAAATATGATTGAAATGATTATTATTTTCTGAGAATGTACTTGTTTACATTTCACAACTGTTCAAGTTAGAATATAACTCAACAACTACTGATAATTCATCAAGTCTTATCAGAATAGATAATAGTCATCAAGGTTCTTGTTCAACCTTGATATACACGAATAATTGCTCATCTGGATAGATAGATTAATTGCCTGAGACGTATGACGGCTAATAATGTGTGACTTCAGTGAAAATACGGAAATACTAATAGTGAATCTACTGATACACTGGCTCTATATTCGTTGAAGTATCAACACAATTATACAGTATGGATATTTCAGGTAAATCAGTGAATACTGATCTAGTGTAGTCATTGAGTCAATGAATAGTTAGCTGGACCTGCGCATCTCTCATAATGTTGCATTTAAAAGATAGAGCGTATTAAGAGGCTCGTTTCATATTAACTCTTAAGTAAAAAGTCTTTGTAGAACATGTCTGATCAATGATTATTCATTTATAAGTCCCTGGAGAGCATCAATAAAAATAGATATTTCATGCTCTTGCGAACTATAGGTTCAAAAATTCTTATTTTTATAGTTTGAAGTTGGTTCATCAATATTAAATCGTTGATGCTCACTAGAAAGGATACTTGTATGAAAGTCTTAGTAAAAACAGAAAAGGTGTTGGCAAATGTGTTTGCTCATTTTTTTGGATAATTATACGTTATCGAAGAGGAAAAAAAGAAATCAATTAGAACCAGAAATTAACTACTCATTGTATATGAGTAACATCAAATTTCTTCATTGTTTCTACGAATTCGGTAGCCACTTTTCTTTTGGAATGAAGAATGCAAAGCTCTTTGTGTTCCAATCTTGAACTTTTTTAATCAGTGCAAAAGCTAGCCTCATTCTGTTGGAAGCTCCAATTATGGTGTCCGATAAATTCATCATCCACCTTTTTATAGAATGGTAACAATTGATTACAATAACTTTGACTTTTCAGCCATTTATGTTCTTAGAAAAGTATGAATGTACAAGTCCATACCATGTTATATCCAATGTAACTATGATACACAACAGATATTTTTCCATTATAAGTAGTCCATCGCATTCATTGGCATTGGGCCAATTCCTTCCTCACAGCAAGTCATTTTTTGATTTGACATAACTGCTTCTAGTAAATAGGTTTTTTTTGTTCGTTGAACACCATGTTTTCTACTTTACCGCGGCTAATGTTCTTTCTGATCTAACGAGAACATATTTTATTTAAACCAATATCGAGTACTACTTTTAAAGTCTTTGGTCATTGTTCAGAAACGTTTTTTGACATATTGATGAGTCTTTTTTGTATAGTCAGTTCGTAGTCTTCCTTATTTTGGTTTAACATTAGTTCAGCCAGATTGTTTCTATCGACACAGCCAACGGTCAATTACACTTCGGTGAACCATCTTTGCCAGTAGGTTCTGAATTTCTAGAGTTTTTTTCCAGTTTTTTAGCGTCAAATAGTCAAATCTTGTAGATATAGTTACTCTTAACCATTTTCAAACCGGCAAAAAAAAAGCCAAAAAACGATCAGTCTATCAAAATAATACAGGAAACCAATGAACACTGAATTTTTTTAAAATAAACTGATTATCTCAACAAATACATAGCAAAGAGAGACTTAAGAGTGCTACAAAAATTCTGCCTTATCCTATGTAATATAGATTCATGAAGAAATATTTCTATCAAAATGAAGGCGAAGCTGTATTTGGATGATATAGTCAATACATATGCTGCACGCTTATTCGCACTACAGCCGATTGCAGAACGACTAGGAGCATACTGCGGTAGGATAGTATTCAAAAGATAGTCGACCATCTATGTGTCAAACTCTCGTCGGTTGATTATTGGTATAGTTTGTCCGATTTCAATCATATTCATGGATACAAACATGGTTTCTGAAAGATTATCAACAACAACTGTGATAGTATTCACCTCTGATGTCGTTCAAACTGCTTGAAAACTATCTATTTATTACCCAAGCAGACCAACATTTTCAAAAACGCGTTTAGACGCACAAAAAAGGGCTTAAAATCCATAAAAAGTGGACATGTTTGGCTCACAATCGCAGTTCCCGACTGTCATCGAAAAACGACCACTTTTTGCCCTTTTTGTGCGTTTAAACGCGTTTTCAGCGAAAAAAACGGTGATAAACGCATGTAAACCCATAAGACGATCATAAAAAATTGTCATCTGTTTCATACTCATAAATCACAATCATAATTACAATCACAGTTCACGAAAAGGACAAAGATAACTACTTTTTATGTTATTTTTATGCGTTTATACGAGTTTACAAGCATGTTTTTGCTAAAAACTCGTTTAAACGCACAAAAATGGCAAAAAGTGGTCTTTTTTTGCTGACAGTCAGGAACCGCGATTGTGAGCCAAACACGTCCACTTTTTATGGATTTTAAGCTCTTTTTTATGCGTTTAAACGCGTTTTTGAAAATGTTTGTCTGCTTGGGTATGATGATCCTCCTAGATTCTTTGTATCTGCCTGTGTGAATGTTTTTAAACTTTTAAAAACTGCTCATTTTCCGCTGAAATCACGTTTGTTAGTCATCTGAACGCGCTCAAACCACTTGTACCAATCTTATCGGCTGTTGTCACTCAGTTTTCAAGTTTGATTATTTATTAAAGTAGTAGCCTCAAAAGTAGTCATAAGAAACATTATGGTGTCATCTGCCACAATACATTGTGACATATTAAAATTGACTTTTTATTTGAAATTGATCTCTTCACTGATAAAAAAAACATTAATTTAATAGTTAAGATATTTTAAACCTCAATTAAAAAGAAGTAAATCATGCGTTCGGTCGGTTTTGATAAGAAATTGACGACATGAGCTATCTAACTTGACGAAAGATATAGATTCAGAACAAGATTGTCAACAAAATCTTAACATTGAACAGAATCACTCAAAGATCACCGAAATTTTCTAGTTGTTGCTATATAAAAATTACTTATATGTAGCATAAAACCGATTTTTCGTCTATTGAATATTATAACTAATAAGACATCCTTTTAGAGTTCAATTTTGAATAACGAACTTTTCAAAATGAAAGTCTACGAAAAGAAAATTTCCCATGAATCATCTTTTATTGTAGTCATATATATACACAAAGAACAAAAAAAAAATGTTGTTATCTTTGTTATAGATAAACAGTAAACACCTTCTTATAATTGCAAAACTGTCCTTATATAGGAAATATGATATCACTATTTCACTGAGTCATCTGTGACTATCTTTTTCTTTAAGAAATATATAAACAGATTCATAAGATCACAATAAACTGTCTTTCTTTAATTGCTTATGAAAATATTTGATTTTGTAATTTGTTTTTGTTAGATCGAAATGCTGACAAATAAAAGTGAAGCGACACAAGCAAGTAGAAAATTACTTATTGTTGGTGATCCTATGTGTGGTAAAAGAACATTATTACATTCATTTGTAAGAAACCAATTTGGTATCGATTGTAGTCGACAAATTATCGACACACCTGTTGTTCCAATACAAGTTGATCAGAGAACTGTAAGTGAATAAATATATCAAGTTTCAAGTAGAATATTTACTTTGTAATTTCGAGATTCACATGGCTCTTTTTGATATAACTGCTGCAGAAGAACATGATCGTCTTCGTTCACTTTATTATCCTGGAACAAATATTATTCTTATATGTTTTAGTATTGATAATCCAGCATCACTTGTGAATGTTACTAAAAAATGGATATCAGAAGTTCGAGTTCATTGTAATCAATGTCCAGTGATATTAGTTGCATGTAAGATAGATTTGAGAACTGATTCACAAAAAATTGCTGAACTTAAAACACAAGGTGAAACACTAGTAACAAATGAAATGGGAAGACGAATAGCAAGAAAAATCAAAGCTGATGCTTATATGGAATGTTCAACTAAAACTCGTCAAGGTGTACAAGATTTATTAAATCAAGCTGCTCGTTTATCAATAAAAAAACGTTCTCATCGTAGGGTAAAATGTCAATGTATTTTACAATGATTATTATTACTGTGTTTGTGTTAACAACAATAAATCGTTTCTTTTTGTGAAACACAATCGTAAACGAAATGTTTAAATATATTGAATTGAGATTTGTACTCTCTACCCTTTACAGACAATGACAACAATTTGTCCTATGATTAGCAAGAGCAGTCAGATTGTAATGCACATTTTTATTTCATATAGATTGTACTAACAGTTTTTTCACTTCTGTTTAAAATCAACAAATTATTATTCTTTATGATGTTTATAAGTAAAATTTAATGTTCAGTTTTGTGTCATCAAACGACCTCTTCTTATTCTTGATGATTTGTTTAAAAAATAAAACCAATGAAAACAATTGTCAGGTAATCGATCAGTTAAATTAATGTCTTGCAATGCAATCAAATTACTTTTTTTAAATTTGCTACATTCTGAAAATAATTTATATATTAAGAATCATTCATGGAACGAATTTATGATATCGAAAAGGTATCTTTTTAGTGCGTTGTTATAAACCATTTTATTGCAAATATAGAATTAAAATTACTGCCAAATAAGAGATTTATGATTAAAAATAGTAACGATTATTTGAATAATGCTTTAGTTTAAAATATAGACAAAATTCCTAGTACATCATTTATTTTTGACATTACTACGTATCATTTCATCTTATTCATTCAAATACACATGTGAAAAATCAATAGACTTTGGATGTCGTATTTTAGGTGGAAATGTATTCGGATTTTTCCATTGACTTTCAACCAATCTTTTGTTCTTTCAGAGCAGGACATAATTCATAGTCACCGAATAAAACTACAGATATTTTAGTCTGGAAATTTGTGTTTACATTACCGAAATTCTCTTGTAGAGTAAAATATAGTTTTATCATATGTTTTTGACTAATGCAAGTAACATTTGTTTGCTTACAAAATTTAAAATAATCGAAGTAATAATATATATTAATTTGTTTTAGAAGTTTTTAGATCTTTTCAAATGTCTTTATTAATTCTTTCTTTTGATTTATCATCGGATAAAATTGGTACATATCTTCATAATATTTTAAATTCTTCATTATCATCTAATTATCCTCATATAGTTTCATTTTGTTCATCTAATCAATTATTTTCTTCATTAATAAATGATTATGAAAAAATTTTTAATAATTCTTTAAAAGAAAATTTTCTTTCTCATAATGATCTACTTGGTTTTATTATTCTTATTGATATAGCAACAACAAATAAATTACATTTAAAAAATCTTTCATATATTAAATTACTTCTTTTATATCTTAATAATAAACATCCATTTCAACAAATTCTTACATTTATTATTCATGCTAGTTCAACAAATCAATTATATACATCATCATTAACATGTTTTAATTTAAATTTAATATTCTATTATATTTATCCATATGTTAATGGAATTATTTTTAATAATATTGATAATATAAATAATTATCAAACATATCATTCAATTATTGCATTACAAATAGCTTCAATTTTTCTTCCTGTTTCATCATTACGTGAAGATAAAAAATATATAAATAAAAGTGTTTGTATTGAATTTTTACAATTTATTCAACATTTACTTAGTAATCCTAATAAAAAAATTTTAATTATGTTAAATAATAATATTAAAAAATTTTTAAATAAAACGTCTTATGCAACATTACTTATACAACGTGGAAAACCTTCATTATTATCAAATGATATTAAAATAAATAATTTTGATATATGGAATTCATTAGAATATAATCATGAACAATTACAAATAACTTTAATTGTAAATAATGATCATTATAATTATGATTTACTTGAAAAATTAATTCTACAACCATATAATAGAAAAATGAATATGAATAAAGCTTATTTATATTGGTTAAGAAAAAAATTTGATATTAATAATCTTGAAGAACAATTAAATAAAGGCATTCAATTATGTGAATATATTATTTTAGAAAAATAAAAAGAATGTCTTACTAAAAATTCTTCTTATAATATAATAGATACTTAGTTACTATGAACATCAGTAAATTGAACAAATTTGATTCATGATCTTTTTTTCGTATATATATTTCTTGTAATTATTGAACAAAGACATTAGAAGTTGCGTAAGCTTACGAGGGAACGTTTTCAACTGTCAAATCCATTTTGAGTTCGAACTTTGTGCATAAGATAGATCCTAGTGGGATATGAAAAACGTCAAGTTATTAAATCCCCTTACGCCTTCTGTCTAGATTTATAGGCATTTTACTGGAATTTTAGCCTCGGGCATAGTATACACGAACAAATTGAATGACGGCGTTTCGATCTGAGATTTTGTTCACAGACAGGACTATTGATGCTTAGAATACCCTGAAAATTTCAGGTCAAAAGAACATTTTCTTCCCGAGGTATTAACGTCCCAAAAATGACTCATGTAGGACAACAAATGCTAGGATTCTCTGTTTTTTTGTTACTTCAATATCTCTGGAAGGAAATATTCTTTTGACCTGAAATTTTCAGGGTATTCTAATCATCCATAGTCCTGTCTGTGAGCAAAATCTCAGACCGAAACACCGTCATTCAATTTGTTCATATATACCATGCCCCAGGCTAAAATTCCAGTAGAATGCCTATAACCCTAGACAGAGGGCCTAAGAGGATTTAATATCTTGACGTTTTTCATACCTCACTAGGGTCTATCTTATGCACAAAGTTCGAACTCAAAATGGATTTGACAGTTGAAAATGTTCCCTCATTAGATGTACATCCTTTTAATAATCGAATATTATTGCTTAGAGAAACTTCTTACTCTTGTGAAACATATTTTTAGACATCAGTCAATTTTGAGACTTTCGCACTCTCTATGGAACACATAACAAAATATTATAATCTGAAGGCTATTCATTTAGCCATTGAAGAATTAAAAAATGACAGACATTCAAGAAGCTTATGTTATTAATCAAAAGATTTGAAAACACGTCATTTTGAATTTATGAATGATTAAACAATAATAATATATGTTCGTGATGATAGTTATCATATATAAGAAAATATGCGGAAAGATGAACATAATAATTTTTAGTTTTCTCTCTCACACGACAAATATTTAGAAAAGAACAATTTCTATTTCTTGATTTTAAGTTTCATTTGATTTCCGAATAATCTTACAATAGACTCTAAGTTAGTGACTTTTATGTTTTATGATCAAAACTTCTTGTTCTAATATAATGAAGATTCTCCTTTGTTTAACACTTTTCAACAGGTAAAGAGAATATTCTTGTATGACACAAACAAACAAACATAAAAAAAAGTCATTCAATCTCCAATAAGGAACATTATGAGATCGAATTGTTTTGACTCTGATTAGTTTCATTGAATCTTAATTTAATTTAAATCCATTTATTCAAATTTACTTTTAGAACATTTTCTTTATTTTAGACTTTCTTTTTTTCCGATTGCTTTTAAAATCAAGATTTTAATCTATGTTCTATAATGCATGTATAGTTCAATCATTCGAATGCAAACAATAAAAATCACAATATCTAATATTACCATCAATCGATAAATAACAATCGAAAGCAACTATCGATTTTATGTTTTCATATTTATTTAAATTTATATCTAAAAAATTTCTTTAAAGAATAATTTTCTAACAATACATAATCTACATCGATATTCAATGAAGAAAAAAAAGATTTTCACAAAAATTGAATTAATTAACGAAGATGTAAATCAGCCCATGTTTGCTGATTACCATAAATACCCCAACCAGTTGATGATGAGTTTGGTTCAACTGTGTTCAATGAAGAATTTATGATATTATTAAAAGTACATGAATGATTGATTAGATGACTTTTAAAATAAATTAAATTATTTAAATATATTCAAAAAAAGAAAACTTGGAACAAACCTATCATTTCTTATAGTATTAATAGAAATCGGTAAATCTTTCATTTATTAATATAAATAACAACTGATAATTTGTATCTTATCAAACTTTTCATACAGCTTTAAAAAACGCTGAAGCTCGTTTATTTATTCACGTTCGCTTATGAAGACAATATTAAGTTTTACTGGACGACAATATATATATATGCACATCAATTGTCTCGAATACAATAAAATATAACAAAGCAAAGATATTTATGAGTGTATTTTTTATGTTCTTCATCATTATCGAAAAACATACATTATTTTCACAATACAAGAACGAAAATAACAATTCAAAATGTGTTTTATACAGGTTAGCAAGTATCAATAAATTTCTCCTTTATGATATGATTATATGTAAAAAAATCGAAGAAATAAAAAACAAAGGACACATACTTAATACAATAATTGTATTGCTTACATGTTGCTTTATGATGTTAAACAATCAAACAACAATAATTGTATAACTTATTTTGTAATAATATTATTTTATTAACGGGAGAAGTTCCTCAACTGATCAAAAAATATTTTTGAGTCAGAACTAAATGCATTATGTAGATTCTAATGATACTATGAAAATCATGAAAAGAGAGTTTGAACTCTTAATTTATTGGTACTAAGATACTGCATTGCTATAGTATTTTTCCAAGTCAATACCATAAGCTCCTACAGGAACAAAAGAAAAACTAAATTTTCGAATTTTGACACTTGAAATTTTGCACAAACAAAGGTCTAAACGTAAGCCGTTTCAAATGTTTTTGTTGTTTCTATTTTAAGATATGGTTATAATAAAAGTATGCCATACACATCCTTCATATACACCAATATAGTCAATATTCTTGTTTGAAGATAGAAGTAAATCAAAAGATCTGAAACTTTCTTTAAAAAAACTATTTTTTTATTAAAAGTCTTGTCTCTATGAAAAATTTATAATTAGAATACGAAAATTAGTTTTCATCATATTCCTTTAGAGGATACAGAGTGTTGACTTAAAAAATATCGTAAAAATGCTCTATCTTATCACCAATAAGCCGAGGACTCAAACTGTTTTCAGGGTATTCGTAGTATTCTTTGAATCTACATGATGCACACAGTTTCAACTCAACAGCGATTTATCAGTTGGTGACCTTCCCTTGTAAATCTTAATAATGGTATGCCATCATGAATATTTTAATGTAAGTTCTTTTTTTTTTTCTCATTTAATCTCATCTCGTCGATATTATTGTTTTTCATTAGGTAAAATGTTGCTAAATATAGTTAAAGTCAATGAATGTTAATATCTATTCATTGAATAATTTATAATAATGAGAAAGAAACGTGCTTTTGAATTTTTTTTTTTTTTTTTTTTTTTATAAACATAATCTGATTTTCATAAAGAATAAATACAACTAATTCAATAAATCTATTTTTAGAATAAAATCATTAGAAATTCTTATTTTATCTATACTAATTCATTACAATTACTTATCTAAGAAGAAGAAAAAATAAAAGAAAGCCAGTTACTTTTAATATGTCAATCATGATTAGTTTTCACTTTATTTCATAACTTAATAAAATAAATATTACACTTTTCCTTCAAAAAAAAACAAACAAACGTTTTCCATTAAATCAGATATTCATATATAGTACCTTATGATAAGAAAAATGAACAGGCATATGCCTGCTTCTATAATTTCTACAATATATACATAATACAAATAAAGAAATGACTAGAAAATACGATAGATATTTTTTACAATGCTAAAAATCAGTATAATTATGTTTTAGAATCGTTACTTAAAGCTATAGTTGACGTAGCATGTTTTCGTTCTGATCGTGGTTTCATATGAATTTTTAAATGTCTTGTAATCATATCTCGTCGACATGCTGAATATGAACAATGTGGACATGTATAAGGTTTTTCACCAGTATGTGTACGAAAATGTGTCGATAAATGATCACTACGTGAAAAATAAACATTACATATTACACACCGATATGGACGAGTACCAGCATGTAAACGTAAATGTCGATTTAACATATCACTACTGAAACAAAAAAGAAACAAATAGATTTTTTTTTGGATAAAAATTCAAAGATCTATTTTGTTTTTCAAAAAACAAAGAAAAAATTTCACCGAGCAAAATGTTTTGAACATATTTTACATGTTAAATCACGTGAATTACTAAAACGATCATAATTTGAATCAAAATCTGATGTATCAGATTTATTATCTTGACATGAATTTTCAAGATGAGTACGATAATGGATTAAAAACCTAAAGTATAAAGATGTACTTTGAAATGTAAACAAATTAATACTTTGTTTTTCAATAAATCTTACATTTGACGTGATTCAAATTCTTGTCCACAAATCTGACAAGAGACAATCAATGATGAATCTGTTGAAGTAATTAACTCATGTTTTTCTGTTTTGCATCTAGATTAAAAAACAAAATTCATTAATGTCTACAGATATGAATTCATCAATTTAGTTTTTACTTTGGCCTAACAGGAATAAATTCATTTGGTTGATCAGATAACGTCTTTTTTAACTTTGGTAATTGAACAATACTTCCTTCTGAATTAGTAACTAGTTGTTCTTGATATTCAGGAAACCGAAATTCACAGGAAGAAGTAGGTGTATTAAACCATGGGGAATGAAATGGACCTGGATCACTTGATGCTAAATAAGGTGAATGTGGTAATGATATTCTACTAGGAAATGATGATGTTCTTTTGTCTTGTTCTTCTTGACCTGAATGATAATAAGGTATAAACCATTGATTATTAGTATCATTTGTTTGTTGTTCAGAATATAAATTTTTAAATGACGAAGATTCATCATCATCATCATTATCATCAACATTATCATCATGTTGATCAATACTAAATATCATTGTTCCTGTAGAATTTGATGTATCATCAATTTCAATATTTGTTGAACGTTGTAATAAACCTCGTTTACTTGGTGAATGTACATCAGAAGAAAAATTTGTTTGATGTAAATGATTAGATATAGGTTGTTGAGTTAAATTTGATGATAAATTAAATGAATGAGATTTTAAAGTTATTGAAGGTTTATTAACAATTGAAAATGATGATAAATCAAATGAATTTTTATTATCATCACAAAATTTTGTTAAAGATTCTTTATGAGGTTCATTTTCACGAAGTTGTTCTAAATAACGACGTTGTAAATAATCTTTTACTTTACCTTTAAATGTCTTAAAAATCAAAAGAAAAAAAAAATTCTTTTTATAAAACAATATTTTTCTTTTGATTTTATTACTTGTGAATTTGTGTTAGATGATACTTGATCATTATTACTATCACTATCAAATGATGATTTTGATAATATTGAAAAAGGAGAAATACAAATTGATTCAAAAGATGTTTGTCGATTTTGTGTTATTGTTGAATTAAGTAAATGATTTTGATTATTATATTCAATAATTCTTGTTGTTGGAAAAAATTGTCGAAGGAGATCAATAATACGTTCTAATTCATTTGAATTTGTTTCAATAATTGCATATGTACGTGTTGGAGAATCAATATCTGGAAGATTATTTTGTTTATCAGTATCTAATTGTTCATTAATACATAAATTTTCTTTTGATGAATACATTGAAAATATTTAAATAGAATTCAATATCTGAATACAAATAATTTCATCGATTATATATGAAAATGTGTATTCCATGCATTTAGATGTTATTTTTTAATCTGAAATAAGAAGTATTTTATACTTGCGTGTCAAAAAAATAAATGTAGATACACATGCAAATGAGAGCATAAAGAACAGTGAGAACATTTTCAATTTAACATGTCTTCTTCAGGCATGATAAGAAGAAATAAAACTAGCAAGTCTTCAGTTAATAATTTTCGATAGGTAAATAGATCATTAACAAGAGAAAAACTTCTAATTATCTACCATTTTTATCCAAGATTGAAAGTGTAAATTAAATACAAACATCAATTCCTTTGCTGAAATATAGATATTAAATCTATATCAAATTATTACGTTAGGTAGATATAATTTCTTTAACAGGAAACTAAATTAAAAATTATATTTTTTAAGTTGTAAAATATGAAGAAGTATGTATAATGAAAAACAAAAAAAGACGTTTTTTTTTTCTGTAAGTAAAAAATAAATGAATGAATATTCACTTGAAATAACCATTGTAAATATAATATCATAGATTGAGAAACAAAAACTTTCGTTAAAAACATATTTACATGTCATATGGAATATATTAACATTCGGATATAATTCTAAGAATGTTCAAGGGCAAAATATAAGTTAATTGACAGTAATAAAGGAGAGAAAAAAAAACAGAAATGTATTTGTGAATGTAATCAAAATAGATTCAAACAAACAAAAAAAAAATAAAGAAATATAAGTCTCTTGATATATTTTGTAGAAATAATCGATGATATCATAATGTTTGTAAATTATTTCTTCAAATATAAGATAAAAATAATTAGATACTTTTCTTCTCACAGACATGAAATATAATATGGAATAAAGACTGGAAACAAAAAAATTAAATCTTCTTTTCTACTATTTCTTAAGAAAAAGAGAGAGAGCACATGAAGCATAAGAGCATTTCTTGATGAATGAAAAAAAAAAAAAAAAACTAACGCAAGAAACAGGCAACGCTATATAAAAGAACAATAACGAATGATTATTTTTAATACATTTGTTAGTGTCGATAATATTGTTGGTGACGACAGAAAAAAAAAAGTGAATGTAGGATAAAATAAAAACAATACAAAATAAACATTGACTATACCTATACTTTCACCATTCATTTTTCTGTTGGCTCTATGACATAAGAAAAAAAAAAGAAAAAGACATTTAAATGCTTCTTGCTTTTTTTTTTCTTTTTTTGCTCTACTTTTGATACTCCCTTGATTATAACTTATGCATTGACAATCAAAGTTTGCTTTTGTACAAAAATAATAGACAATAGGCCTCGAAAGAATATACCTTAGCAAGAATAATATGCTCCTTTTGTCCATGTATACTTCTAATGACTTGCACTTTAAGGAGATAAACTTCGCACTTATTATATACGTATACGTCATGTGCTTATCATTATATTAATCATCTATTGTTACTTATGGTGAATATATACCCCTAGATAAAATATAATAATATATTATGTGTATTATCTTTCAATATGTCTGCATCAAAATGAATGTACTATTTTGCTAGACTATTGAACATGATTCATTATTAACGAAATATTAAAACATGAGAATACTTATTTTTGCTACAAAACAAAAGCAATGTTAATCATTCGTTTTGTGAACTAAATTCTTTTCAAAGATTATTAAAATAAAATATTAATAATAGTAAAATATGCGTATTTTATTTATTGTATAGCGTGAGAAGAAAATAAGGATTCGTTACTTTATCTTTTTTTTTTTTGTTTATAAAACAATGATTTAATATTAAATGACATTAATTGGTAGTAACAATCTTTTATATGAGCTTAAGATTTTTGAAAATATATCAAACAAAAATAAAAGATTAGTTCTAAGAGGAAATTTTAAAATGTTTCTACTTTTTTGTTTGTTATAGTTGTTGTTGGTCATGTTCATCATGCTCAATGATAATATTATTGTCAAAATGTCATAAATGAAGCTTTAGATATCAATAGAATTGGTCATCTAGCATTATCTACTCAATCATTCCGAACTATGCTATTATTAATATTATTCTGTATAGACTCAATGTCTTACACTATTATTTGACATTTCAATAGTTTTTGTTCACAAACATATGTTTCTATATTAAAAAAAATGAGTACTTAGAGTGATATGATAAATAAATTATGTGATGAATATACCGACTCGATAAATCTTTCTGATAGAAATTCAAATAATAAACATGTATCAATTGAAATTTGTATTTGTTGTATTTTGTTACGTGTTGGTGAAATTAATACATCTAATGAATGATACACAAGAGAATTTTCTTTTTTTTCAAGTGATCTAAAAATTGAATTAGAATATCATTTTCAAATAGATCATTTCAATCAATAATTATTGGTTCTTAATCTATTAAGATATGATGATAAGTGAAAACCAATAATGATCAGTATTTTGAATAGAAAAGTATAAATTAATTTTCGATTAGAAATTATTTATTTTCAATTGATATTGTTGTAAAGAGTTTTCGCTTTTTTTCATTTATTCATAGTGATATTAGTCAACATAATTCTAGTTAGTTAAAAATTTTTCTAATCATTTTTTCCTTATCATCGTTTGTACAAAAAATTTGTGTTAGAAAAGACTGTATACTTATCATGTATAAACTTATTGATTCGATCTTTTAAAAAAAATGAGGTTTTGCAAGGATAAAATATTAAATCCTATATGTAATTGTTGAAATGATTATGAACTTTATCTCTTTATCAATACTGTTGAATGAAATTATCTTCTATTTTATTTAGATAGAAATACATAAACATCATAAATTCAAAGAATTTTTTTTTTTGAGAATCTATGAAATTTAATTCTTTTTTATATGGTGTTCAAGAACTATCAATATCATTGAAAACACCATCGACAGGATGTATGGATGCTTTGATATAGAATCGATCTTGAGAGTTTTGCCATCTGACAAGACGCAACTAGTTGCAGTTGAAAGGTTATGGTAGCTAATAATAAATCTCCTTGAAATTCTACCATCTTTATGCTTTTTGAAAAAAACAAGTATAAATAATACTAGCAAATTGATTATAACAATGCAAAGTAATCTAATTTTAAAATAAGTTTGAAATTTTCGATCTTTTTTTTTTTATTTAGTGTGGTCATCATCAGTTTTACACACATCAGTTGTAACCTTACCTTCTATTTATTGGAAAATAAACAATGAGAGCTGGATACATGAACGTCTTAAAATGAAAATAATACATTCAAGTATATAATTGTGCAACAATACTAATACGTAAATTTGAAAGGAAACTTTAATAATAGTACTATCATAACAAAGACCACACTTACAAGCAATGTCTTTGGTTCTAATCATGGCCCTACTAAATGAAAAAAAGATCGAAAATTTCAAACTTATTCCGAGGTCGACAAGTACGGGCTGGTTTCGGCAGAAAAACACCGGAAATCACGGGAACATGGAAGCAGAATTCCCGCCGGAAATTTTTCGGATTTTTTCTGGTGGACTCCGATCAACTTCCTGTGCTTTCCAGCAGGAATCGACCGGAATATTGCTTCCATGTTCTCGCGATTTCCCGTGTTTTCCTGCAGGATACGGTGAGTTTTTTCGCATTTTCCTACTGGTTCCTGCGTCGGCCGTTCACCGAAATCATTGACCTGGGTTGTAAAATTATATTAAACTTTGTTATTAGGATTAATTGTTTACAAATAAATTACTATTATTAAGCAAGTCTTCTTTTTTCAAGCTTCTTCGCAATGGCTATGATAAATACTTAGAAAATTGTAGTGACATCAACTTGTACAGCTTGTGGAATTATTAATTAATATAAAAATCATTCTGGCTAATTGCGATTTTCCCATGGTTAGAAAGAATATATTCATTTTAGACTAAATTATAATGAGAATATCATAAGATTTGTCAATGCTATTTCAAATTTCATATAACGACAGCCATTGTGTTTGTTTTTCTTGAATAAGACATATATCACCTTTTTCTTATACATACATTTTTCTGTTTAAACAAACTTTTCTTATATATCGAAGCATATCTTTACATCTATCAACAGCTAGAACAACTTTATGTCATGAACCAGTGCATTAATCATCAAATTCATTGTTCGACTCATATGATTCACTTCCATTGAATTCTACTTTTCTTTTTCTATTAGATTGAATCGTATCAGCATTATTGACTTTGAACACTATGTTTATATCAAAATGATTAATAAACCTTAAAGTTTTACGCTCATATAGACTCACTTACAGGTGAAAGCCTCTAGAAGAATATTATGCTTGATTTTGTTTTTGAAATACAACATCAAAGAAAACTAATTTATCATAATTCTAGCAACTACTCATCTTTTTTTTTTCTAACAAGGTACTTTCAATAACTTAAATTGTCGCGTGAATATAGAATTAACAAATGCTCGTTTTTAACATATTACGATATCCAGAATCTAGTTTCACTTGCCCATTGATATTGTCTAGGTGATATATTTCCTATAATGAATAAATCTTTCTAACTTTGTATGTGTGAATTCAGTGAAGTTGTGTATGAAAGTGGCTTCAAGTATTAGTCTTCTTTTCACATCCACATTCACTACTAGTTCTCTGATCAGGTTTTATATTGATTTTTATTTCTTTACAATGAGATCAATATGTGCAAAATCAGTGATGTTTGTGAATAATATTAATAAATTTGAAAAAACAATAATTAATATATACGATAGAAAAATCTGCTATGATACATAACTATAGTAATATCCATCACTATATTATCATTTTTCAGCATCACTAAAATGTAGCGATTCACAATACATAAGAAAAAAAAGTAATATAATCACTGTATCAAATGCTAAAACAAAATGAATGTTGATTGGTTTTTCTTCATATGATAATTTGTTTCCAGCAGACTAATATCCCATAATAAAATCAAGTTTTTTT